AAATCCTTCTATACCGGGTTATAAATTTAATACCAAATTATACTTTAAGTAATCGACTATAATAATAAAATAATTAGTAGTAAGAAGATTACTACTTAATTTACTACTAAAGGGACTAATATTAAACCTTTAGCACCTTATATATAAATTTAAAACGGCAGCGTAGAACGCTTAGGGGGTATAATTAAAATTAAAGGTACAATAATACAATTAAATATAAATCTTCCTTACCAATTATAAATAGAAATTATTAAAGTAATTGTATATTTATATAACCTAACCTCTAAGGCGGAATATTACTAGAAGTTTCCCTAAAACTGATTTGAAACGTACTACTAATTTAAAAATAATATCGTTCTTCTATTAAACCCCTCCCCTATTATTATATACTTTAAAATATATAGTTATAATGCTTTTATTTTTACAATAGAAATTATAAAAGAATAGAATAAATTAATGAAGTTTAAGGACTATATTTAGGTCAGGGGGAGATAGCTCAGTTGGAAAGATCTGAGCTTGGTTTACCTTGCGGTTGTTTCTGTGAGGTCGTAGGTTCGAATCCTACTCCCCTCTCTTCCATTTGGTCTTAGTTTTCGGGTTCTCCCAAGACCGGCCTCGGAATTTCTCCCCCACCCGAAGTACGTAGCTAAATTTGTAGGGCTCTCCCTAGTTTAAAACCCTAGGATAAAGCGATTTAGCGCTTAAAAAATTTCTTCCTCGACGGGGCTCCGCTACTCCTCCACTGCGAAGGTAGATTTTAGGTCGAATTCTCCACCCTTCGAAAAGCAATTACTTCGTCCGATAATATAATAACTATCCGCCCAATTAGTGTACGATTCCTTAAGCAAGTAGGGTAATATTTACCCTCGCCTCAAAATTAGGGCCCTCGGGCTGAAAGAAGACCTTAAGAACGCCAATCGAAATCCGTAAGACCCTTCTTCCCTCCCCCTAAAATACTACCCAAATAATAAGACGTATTTAGGCGGTAAAGAAAGGGTGGGGTTGGAGACGCTAGCAATTAGAAAACTTTGAAGGAAGGCTTAGATAAATGAAGATAAATATTAGATATAAAGATGCGGGAGGTTTTCATCTGGTATTCGGCGGCGGATATACGGTTTTTCCGCTCGGTTTTGAACGACGAAGGACCACATACTTAAATAAGGCGACTTGTTAAATTAGATAGTCAAGCGTGAATAAGATCATTATTATATTTAGGTTGGCTATTTAATTCGATATTAATTAATAAATATCTATAAGATTTAGAATCCCTATACTAATTAATTCTATTAGTATTATACGAAAGGTTATATTTAATAAAAACGAGGTCTTCCCTACTAATAACGTTAAGAAAATCCATAATAATTTTAATATTTCCCATAAAAAATTAATTATATAATTAAAAGACCTTTATTAAATAAATATCGCGTAAATAAACGTCCTATAGGTCGAAACTATACCTACTGCAAATAATAGAGTTCCTGGCCCCGTTATCTAAGATTTTCCTACTAAGATTGAAAATATATTAGGGGAAGAGGAGGAATTAATGTCTCTAGAAATATAAACGTAATTTAGATATTTAAAAGTCCTATAAGTTTTAGAATTACTATAGGGGTCTTTAGAACTATTACTATCGCCGCCCGTATAATCGCTATCGGATTTTTAGAGTATAGTTTTAAATTCGAAGGATAAAGATGAGAGTTATTTCCCTACCCCTCCTAATAGCTTAACTACGTTTTTAATAATTAACTTCTCTTATTTTAATTAAAAATTATAGCTAACTATAGATTAATACTTTTATTAGGCCGCGTCGTTCTTATTTATAAAAGGTAATTAACTTATAGGCCTTTAGGGAAATAAAGTCGTAGATTAAATTTTCCAAGAATAAATAAAACAGAAGGGTATCGATATTAATCCCAGCTACAATCCTAAATTAAAAATAATAAAAGAAATTATTAACTGCTATAGAATGAAGAATATATTGAAGACCCTTTATTAAATTAACTTTCTACCTATTCTAAAATACTATAATAATTTCAATTCTTATTCTTTTTGGGAAGTCTTTAAAAATATAGAAATGGAATATTTAAACGAATATAAAGATAAGAAATCCTAAAAATAAATCAATATTAAGAAAATGAAAGATAACGAAATATTCGGTTTGATATAAATATATACTTACAAATTTAACTAAAACGGCCGGTTCTTCAAATATAAAATACATTTAATAGTACGTAAGGACTAGCAATCAAAGGATAGCGTACGGAAAATGTACGTAGTAATCCTAATAATTAAATTATTTTATATCCTAATAATTATAGCTGCCTAATTTAATTTCGACCTAACCTAATACAATATAAAGAATATTTTTATTAATATTATATTCGATAAAGTAATATTTATAAGGGCTCCCCCTAAATATATTAAGAAAGGCTAAGTACTCCAACTACTACGTACACTATATAGCCTATAAAAATCCCCCTTCCTCTAGTAATAAGAATTTATTAAAACCTTCGTAATTATAAGTATAAATCCGCTCCTTATAGAACTTAATATCCTAATTAAAAACAATATATTCCTGTTCTTCTATATCGATAATGATATTATTATTTATAAATATAGAAATAAAGAGATCGCTATAACTAAGGAGGTAGTAATTATTATAGAGAAGAAATATTAGTTAATGGGTAGAGAACTATTAAAATAATTCCTAAGTATTAAAATTATTCGAAACCGAGAGAAGAAATTAATTTAATTATTATAATGCAACTATATTTAAAAGATTATGAAGAAGGTTAAACGTATTAAAAAATTACATTCTACGCTTATAGTAAGAGAAGAATTCCTACTTTATTAAAATAATGTAACCTCGTACGAGATTTATACGTATTAAATTAAAATCGGTTCAATTTTTTATATTGCTATTACATTGCAACTAGATATAATTTTCCTAATCTCTAAATTTATTCGATTCAATTCAAATCCCAATTTAACACATTATACGGCTATAGACCGAATATTACTTTACCTTCTTATACTTTAAAATTATATTTTTCAATTAAATAATAAAACCCATTAAAACTTCTATATTATAATTAATTCCTTATTTATAAATAATTGTTTTAATCGAAAGAATTTATAGGCATTTATACTTAAATTCCTAGGCGCTATAATTAATTAGCGAACTAATACATAAAATATAATTATAACCTTGTTTATAGAGGCCGAATTATTATCCTTTAACTAGGGAACTAAGGAGGCTATTTACGCCTGCCGTCTCTTTAATAAATTTACCCTAAGGTTCGAAAATTAAGAGGCTACGCCTATAGGTTATAATAATAAATAAACAATATAATTTATCGTAAAAGAGGGAATTTGGTTCGTAACCAAATTCAAATAAATCGATATATATAAATACTAATTAAAATAAATATAAAAGAGGAAACTAGTAAATATAATATATATACCTACTAAAGAATAAATTACAAATAGTTTTACCAAGAGCCTCTTCCCCGCAGTATATTTGAAATTTATAGAGTAATTAGGATTCGTAGAACTATAATAATTATAAATTTCATTACGAAAATTTAGTAGCGGAGATATCACTGCAGGCCGCCTAAAAGGTATAGAGGATTTTATAGAGGAGGATTCGGATAACGAATTAGTAAGTGTAACGATAAGTATAATAGGGTAAGATTTTTACGGATAATAGTTTGAAAATTACCATAACGAGAAAATAATTTGGGAATAGTATTATTTCTGGCCAATTTTGGAAGGATTTTAGGGCATTTTTTTGGGTAGATTTGGCGTAGTTTATATACTAGATCTAAGGGGGTGTATCAAAGGCCAAGAGATCTACTGGGTGTGTACGTGCCCAGCTGGATTGGGACATGCGGGATTTTTACCCAAATGCTAGAGCTTTAAATCTACAGAGCCAGTCTTACACACATACACACAATCAAGCCACGTTGAACCCATATCGATTATTACCAGTAATATCACACCCATCGCTTGGAAATCCCAATCGGGGGCTTTGATCAGAGGGTGGAGCCGGGGGTTGGCCGGTGGCATGATGGTCAATGGGACGAAAGGGACGGGCAAGAACGGGGAGAATGGACAGGGAATATTGGGAAATATCTCGCGCATTCAAGCATCCCAATGGTACTGAGAGTGGCATCATCAAAGCTCCGACTGCGGAAGGATGAAAGAGTGAGTGCCGAGTACGAGACGGGCATGAAAGAGGATGTCAGATATTCCGGCTATGCACGGAGGATTGATAATCATCCCACGCCGAGTTCCGTCCGTGAACAACCTTGAGAGCTGCTTGGAAATGTTGAAGCGAACAGACGTTTGTTTCGAGTTGGTCAAGGCGTTGAAACATGTTGCCATGAACCCTGGAGCCTGGGGTTATGACATAACAATGGAGGTGAAGTTGAAAAGTTACCCTTCCCCGAGGTAACAAGAACCACGCATGACAAAAGAATCATGGGTGCTCTTCGAAGCCATTATTGGTAAGGCAGCCAATCTATGAAAGGATTAGATGGCACGCGACATACCGTCGTACGATACCTTGAAGGCTTTGCCGCATTTCGTCAACAGTGCTCAAATGGTCGTGGTCGTGGTCGTCATCCTTCAATACCCGTCAGAGATCCTTTGGAAGAAAAGCAGTCAAAAAGAACCAATGGCCAGACAGCCAGAAAGCAGTGGCGGTTGGATTGCCGTTCCTAATGTTCCTAATGTCATTCATGGATCTCGACGATGAAAAAATAAAGTGGACTAGCGAGTCTTCAAGGTCCCCAATTGATCAATCCAACGGGCGGCTTTGGCGGGGCATGCACTGACCCCGCCATGAACTCCACAAGCCGCGCCGGTCCACCGAGGAGTTGGCAGGGAGCTCCTCGCGTGGTCCAAGCTCCTTCATGATCGATGATCGCAGACGCAGCTCGTCATGCCGCCAAGAAAGATGCCGACCGGGCTTGGCCAACGCCTGACGAGCCACGGCAACCTCCTCCAGCACCAACAACAACAACCACCAAAGAGACAATCCACACTTCGAAATGCGACGATAGCGACATTGACATAATCCGGAAGTTTGGTCAATTTAGAGGATTCGGACAAGATGGTTGTCCAACAACATATCCTGAACTGGCTCTACAGCGTGTTGACCAGTGTATGTCCGCTACCACCACCACCTCCTCTCCGGAAGTTGAAGCCAACCTATTGACTGACTGCTCTGACTCAGGAATATCACGATGTCAACCGCACATACAACGATGTAGCCCAAGTGCTCTCCCACTACCCATCGCTCTCTCCGCGAACCGATGTACACAGTACGCTGCTCTCCGTCGACGCTATACCATCCCAACTGTTGTCTGACCATGTGCTCTTATCACAGCCTTCCCCAACGGCGCATCCGCCCTCCTCGTCCACCTGTCGGGAACACTCCCCGTCGTCTTTCGCGGCACCACATACCGTTTCCCAATCTCACTATGGGTTCCCCACGCCTATCCTCGAGATGCCCCCTTGGTCTACGTGACCCCGACCGAGAACATCATGGTCCGGCCCGGCCAACACGTTGATCCCCAGGGTCAGGTCTATCATCCCTACCTTGCCGGCTGGTCGACGTATTGGAACAAGTCCACCATTCTCGACTTCCTGGCTATCCTGCGGGATGTTTTTGCCAAAGAGCCTCCAGTCATTGCCCGTCAACCTCCTCAGGGGCAGGTCCGGTCCCCTCCACCCCAGCAGCAGCAACAGCCACAGCCACCACAAGCGCCAGCAGCACCTACACCACCACCAGTACCACCACTTCCCCAAGAACTGGCCGCGAGGTCACCGGTTCCAGTACGATCTCCGGTTCAACAAGATGCGGCAAGGCCTCCGCCTCCACCACCGAAGCCCGGCGCCCCTGCTGCTGGTCCCATACCGCATCAGCCCTCTCCGGCACCATCTTACGCCGCCGCTCCTCCGCTGCCTCCCCATCCCCCACATCCCGGCAGACCTACGAGCCAATACGGCGGTCCTGGAGCACCCGTGACACAATCCCCCAGACCAGGTGCCTCTCGCTACGATGCTCCTCCGCCTCTACCTCCTCACCCGACAGCACAACAACAGCAGCAGCCTGGCGCGCCATACCAATCACCTCCTCTGGGGCCCGCCCCCCTTCCACATAACCAGGCACCACCACAACCTCCATTCTCTCCCATGGATCCACGAAGGATGTCCACCCTCCAACAACACCCCCCGCAACACTACAACTCCCCTCCACCACCACCCACCTGGCAGCAACAACAGCACCCACCTCAAGCCTTACCACCACCACAACAACAACAACAACACCACCTCCCACCACAACCACAACCCAAGCCCCCTTCTCCCCCAGACCTCCTAGACGACGACGGCCCCGCCTCCCCTCCCTCCTCAACCCCCGGCGCCGGCGCCAACACAACAACCACCGCACAAACTCCCGGCGCACCGCCCCCTCCCCCTCCTCCCAACCCCGAAAAAGACGCCCTGCTCCACCAGCTAGCGACCACCCTCCACACCCACCGGCACCACGCCCGCGCTCAAAACGACTCCTCCCTCGCCGGCCTGCAGGCCCAGCGGGCAGCCATGAACCAAGCAGCCAACACTTTACAAGCCGAGTACGCCCAGCTTTCGCAGCTATCTGCACTTTTGAATTCCAACACTGCGATTCTACAAGAGAGTTTGAGGAAAGCGGATAGTGTGATTGAGAATTCCAAAACACTAAAAGAGCCGGATATTGATGAACTGCTGGTTGCGCCGACGGTGGTGGGCAACCAGCTTTATGAGCTGGTGGCGGAGGAGAGGGCGTTGGCGGATGCGATATTTATGCTGGGACGGGCGGTGGAGAGGGGGAGGATTGCGCCGGGGACGCATGCGAAGATGGTGAGAGGCTTGGCGAGGGAGTGGTATTTGAAGAAGGCTTTGGTGAAGAAGATTGGGGATGGGATGGGGTTGAGTCAGTAACAGTGAAGATGATGGAAGACAAGGTAGAGTAACGATGTAGATGAATGGACGATCATGACCAACAAACCCTCCCTTTCTGGGTGCCTGTTTTGGATCGTGGGTGCTTACTTGCCGTTCAGCAGAGTTGTTACACCGACGGAGACCCAAGAAGATGAATCAACTATTCTTTTTCTAACAATCATCACAACTAACCATCACATTACAGCCGTCCTTCTAGCCTAACATACATCTGAGGGCCGAGCAAAAAAACACAGAAAGGGCCCAATAAACATGATCCAACAACAACAAACCAGAAACGTCTGCCCGCTGCACTAACAATGCCTACCATAGGCAACTACTCTATACCTGACTGACTTTTACAACCTTCACAACTTCCCACGAGCAACACTGCTCGCTTTCCCAGCTTTTCCAGCCCCAGCGGCCGCCACCGATTCCGAACCATCACATGATAACCCTAACATTCGATCCTTCACACTCACTCCTTCAACCTGAAGCCTCCTTTTACCTTCAACACCACTAAAACTCTCGATCCTCCTCAAGCTCAACACCCGCGTCGGCCTCGGATGTTGCAGCCCACCCTTGGGCGTCGCCACCACAACGTCCTACTCGTCATGACGCAGCGACTCTGTGGTAATAGTACTGATGGGAATGGGAACAGCCACGGCGGCGGTGGTGGTGGCGGCAGAGGCAGTAATGTCACTATTGGCACTACTGTTCCCACCGGTACCAGTGCCCGCACCAGCCTCAACACCCTTCCCCAACAGTGACGACGACCGGCCGCTTCCTTTACGTTCCTTCAACCTCTGACCGATTCCGAACGCAGCGGCTGCTGCTCTCTGCCCCCAAGAGATGCTCGATTGCCGACGGGATTGCACATGATCGACCAAGGAGGGTGGGAACGATGTCGTTCTTACTTCCTTTCCTTTTTCCTTGGTCAACTTGTTACCCTTCTGCTTCCCTTCACCATCCTGGCTATGGTCATCATTGCTGCTGTTGCCGCTCGAGAGCCGAGGCAGCACAGCCATGGTGAAGCTCTTCCTCAGGGAAGTAGAGGGACCGCGGGCAGCTTCGACAACATCACCATGAGATCTTCTGGTGGGGAGAAAGCCTCGCTTCCGGCCCATGATGCCGACATCATTCGGTGCCGTTGCGCTCTTCTTGATCTTGCTGCTGCTGCCGGTGACAACTTCAGGTTGCCGCGTCGGTTGAAGAAAGGGGTCATCATCGTCCAGGCCTCGAGACCATTCCGGGGCTACATTGTCATCCTCAAGCGACAGAAACCCATAGCTTTTACGGTCATGTGGATGGTGTGGTACTGTCCGGTTGACCTTGTCCAGGTGCGGCCAGTGCTGTAAGACGGGGTGCCGAGCAATAGCCCCCGCCGACCCCGACGACCCGGATCCAGACCCAGAAGCAGACGCTCTTGTGCTCGGGAACGACGTCGTGGTGGTTTCTGTGGTCGACTCACCACGCTTGCGTTCCTCTCGCTCTGGACTGCTTTGGCCCTCTGTCACCGCGACATTGAGATCCAGATCCCCGTGCGAGCCCGACACCTTCCACAACACGCCTTTCACAAAGAACGTCGACTCGCCCGTCTCCTTGTTCGTCGAACTCATGACGAGCGGTTGCGCCTTGGTTCCATCACTCCCTTTCAGCTTGCTCTTCCCCTTGCCCTCACCTCCGTCTCCGCTATCTTTCCTCTTGGACATCGACATCGACATCGACACGGCATTGCTGATTTTCCGCCCCGCAGCCCGAAGCGCCTTACCATTTCTACTGCTGCGGTTGCCGTTGTCCCGATTTCCGCTCGTGCCAAAAGACAACACCCTCATCACCTTGCTCCCAGAGGATGAACTTCCACGGCCCTTCCTACCAAAGGCGGCCAGATCTGTATCTTGAGACGAACGATCGCTGCGGGATTGAGAAGAACTGGTAGTCTCCGACGACTTCCGCTTGCTGTGCATCGACAGCGGCAGACCCACTATGCTACCACAGCCGTTGCCACCGTTCCTTGAGTGACCGTGGCTGCTGCTGCCCCCGCGACCGCCGCCGCCGCCGAGCTGCTCAAAGAGACTGATACGCTCCTTGACTGGCGAATCTTCCCCGGCCCCAACGCTCTTCATGTTCTGCTTCTGCTGCTTCTTGATCTTCCTACGCTGGAAGTAGCTGGTATAGCCCAAAGAGGACCCAGTACCGGCAGCAGGACCCGAAGTCTTACGCCGGTACCCACCGAGTGACGACGGTAGAGTCTTGCTCCGCTTGCGTGTGCGTACCACGCTCGAGGCAGTGGAGCTAGCGGTCTCGGGAATCACATCTGAGCTCTGATGTTGCTGTTGTTGCTGTGAGGAACGACGGGATGCTTTTCGGGTTGTCACGGCCACGGTGGTCGATACCATGATGGGTGCACTAAGGGTGGACTTGACGAGAACTGGAAGGGTCAAGGTCTGTGCCCTGCGCTTTTGGATGAAGGGTAGGAACGGCGCCGAGCCTGGACCCGTGGGGTTGTTGTCAAAGACCTTTTGCAGATCCTTGACTCTGTTCGCAGGGGCGAGTGGTGCTGATGCCGAAGTCTCACTGGAACTGCCTGACTTGAGCTTCCTCTGGTCCAGAGAGCCGTGGCTATGGGAGGTGGGGAGGGGCAGGGACCCTGAAGCTGAGTGGCTCGCCCACGGCTGCTGAAGGGTTACCATGGTTTGGGGTCCGGTGGTAATCTTGACAGAGAGCGTGCGTGAAAGAAGCAAGGGGTGCTGGGAGCTGGGACGGCGTGTGGAAGTACGCGCTGATGCCCTTGTTGGGGTATCGCTGTTCTTTCGGGTGACGGGTCTTCGCGAGTCCACCTCAGCATCAGAAACGTTGCCATCATGCGAACCGACGAGGCGAGAAGCTGTGTTGTGAAGCTGTGTTTGCTTCAGCCTCGATGAGGCATTACTGTCACCTCCATGGACAGGCTGGTTTGTCGCCTGTCCTAGGCGAGGATACGTCTGAGCAAAGACCTCTGAAGAACGAAGGGTTCTGACCCTCGTTGGTGTAATGGGATCCTTGGATCCTCGCCCGGGCGTCACCGGTGTGGGGACTTCTGTGGCTGTCGATAGGCCTTGGGTGAGCGTCCGACGGAACGGCCGGTGGGCAGAGCTTGGTGTTTCTGGTTGGAGATCGGGCAGAGATGAGCGCTCGAAAGACATTCGAAGGGCAGCAACACTCTTCCTTCTTTCTCTCTTTGGTCCGACGCCTTCTGTTGCCGACTGTTGAGATGATAGAGCGGGAGCCGAGACTTGAGCAGCAACGGGTCGCCGCGCCGAGATTGCGAAGGGCTGGTCAGGCTTGACGATCTCGGAACCCCGTTTCTGTTCACCCTGTGAAGGGACACGTGCAACCGTACGGGTGACAACTGGGGTGACAATTGGGCTATCAAAAGGTCGTGGCACTACAACCGTCAGTTTTGATCCCGGAGACAGGCATTTTGAAACAGTTGATGGGGCAGTAAACATACCGGTGCTTCCCGACTCAAAGAGCTTTCGCCTCTCTGCAACATTACTCGGATCCCAATGTTTTGGTCCGTTTGCAATGGGAACTTTGGCATCAGAAGACACTCCCTGAGAACGCGCTCCTCGCTGGGCCTGAGACGATTTGGGTAGGGAGATGTGGACGTGTTTCTGGCTTGACCAGTTTTCGGTTTGATGCTGGCTTTGACGTTGTGTGGCACGCTGTAACTCTGCTTCCTCTGGTGTTGTTGGGACCCTGGGTGGCTTTTGGTTCTTTTCTGGAGATGGAAGCCGCAAGGCTCCGGCGTCAGCATTGCCCATGACATCCAATATCTCAAACTTGGACACCAAAGAGGCGAATTTGGGGGAGGTTTGGCTGGGAGCTGTTCGGAAGGTAGATGGGGTTGCAGCTCTGTGGATGATGGTGTTGAGACTCTCCCTGTTGTTCCGGTTGGCACCGTTGGGAGTTCTGCCTGAGGTGGCTGATGAGGTACTTCGAGATAGGCTATTGTCACTTTGGCCGCCGCTCGAGTTACTCTTCCTCGTCAAGCGGAGAGGAGCTGGCTTCAGTTGTGCGTCGGTGAAGTCGGCCTGAACCGGTGAGCTTGGTTCTTCCACACCGCCGGCCGAGGTGGGAGATTGATCTGGACTCGAGTTGGGCATTGAAGGGATTGGAATAACGATCTCAAGGAAGGGAATGTTGGAGGTGGAGTACTAAACGCCGCCAATCGTATGATGTAGACTCGAGCTGTCGCCGATAAGGGGATGCCAGACTCGCCTTGATGGAGGGATGAGGTGGATGGAAGCGGGTGAGAAAGGGATCGTGATTGGGCACAGATTGCGAAAAAGGTAATGGTTCTTGGTCTCGTTCGACTTTCCAATGCTGCCGCGGAAAGTGCTTCTTTGCGCCGTCGATTCCATTGGGTCTACAGTACCAATCGTAACAGGCAGTGTCTTTCCCCGAACCTTCGACATCGTTACTTCCAATAATCTCGAGCTTCTAGAGGGAAAGAGCGAGACGAACCCTGGCAGCTGATTCGGGCAACATTTTATACACTCCCCTCCTTTCCAGTCCATCAGTTTGAGCGACAAGCAAACCCCTCTCGTCACCCACCTCGCCAAGTTCACGATCCGGTCCTTCTCCTTTGGGAGAAGCTAACACTCCAACAGATTCTACCTGCGACTTTTATCACCTCTCAAGTTGCACGGACACTAGAAACCTCAGCTAAGGCTTTTGGTTCCGATCTTCAAACTACCATTCCGATTCATTCATTTCTACCTGCCTACTCCCTGCGTCACTGCGAACCACTTTGGGCAGTCTTCCACAGGATGTTCCTTCTTACTCCTTCTTCTCAGCGCCCTCGCCCTTCTCAATTTCCTTGACCTTGTCATCCTCTGCGAGCGTTGGCGTCTTCTCGTCCATGAGCTCAAAGGCCTTGTCCAAGAGATCAATATGTGCCGAGCCGTCCTCAACAAAGGCCACCTCAACCTCGACCTTCTCATCCGGCTTGCTCTCATCAAGCAGCTCGCCAGGGATGAAGCCGGCCTTGAGCTGGTGACGAGAGTAGCTGGTGTACACCTTCTTACGGCCATCGGCGCAAATGATATCGAGGAGCTTGAGCGTGAACTTTTGGCAGTTGTTGCCAACCAGCCTGTAGACCTCGTCCATGTCCTGGATGGCTTGGATACCTAATGGCGGCCACAGTTAGCATTCCGCGGAGAAGATGCTGATAAGGGAGTATACGTACCAGCTGAAGCAATGGCGTTATCGTTGAACCTGGTCTCGCCGACCTCGTACAACTCCCACTTGTCGGTCCAGTCCTTGACGTTGTTGTCGTACCAGTTCCAGTGCTTGCCGTCCTGCTTGGTGGCCTGAAGCTGATGGTAGTAATCACCAACTAGCACGCACCAGTGGTAGTTGGGACTGGGCATCGAGCCGAGATAGTGGCCGCTGCTGATGAGGTCGGCAATGAGTCCGAGAGTCCAAGCACCGAGCTTGCCGCCGACGAAGCGAGAGGCGATGTAGACCTTGCGAGGGGCATCGTTGATGTTCGGCTCACCGGCCGGAACACGGCTGACGTTCTGGAAATGGCGACCCATGGTGACTGAAGGGAGGCAAAGAAAGGCTTGGTAGGATGTATGTGAGGTCTGTTGGTAGGATGTGATGAGCTTGCTGTCATGACACCAGAGACTGACCGGACATCACGGTCTTTATACCCATCCACTGACCACCATTCATCCATCATCAACATCTCGGGCTGCCTCAACTTTGGCACACAATCCGCCCTGCGTCCCTTGGGTATGGTTCGATTCCCATGCTCAGCTTCGGCTTCGATGTTCGCTATACCCCATCCGTCCTTCAGCTATCGCCAAAGAGAGCTCAGCCCAGCAAAGCATCGATAGTCTGTCAATGGTGATGCAACAGACCGATGCATTTCCCAATCAGCATGGCAAGCGAAGGTCGTAGCAACTGCCGTTGAGGCTGCAGTAGGCTTTGCATCTGGTCATCGAACCCTGAGATACGGCCGGGAACTGAAGTGCTTGGCGGTCCAGACCGTTGACTTCCTCCACGTGGCTGGCCTTTCCATGCTAGCTCGGTGCGTGGTTCCCCAGATTGGCACCCATACCCTTGCATTGGTGGTCTTTCAGCTGAACACCAGGGCAGTACAGCCTACGAACTAGCTCCACTCCTATCAATAGTTTGGACCTCGCGCGCGGCCTCAGTTCTTTAGTCTTCATTGGAGTAACGTCCTGGGGGCCCAAGAGCATGAACATCATTCTATTCGCAAGAAAGACAGTCAAAGATGCTTTTCGGCGTTCGACTCTGGCGCTTCATTGTATGGCAACCCAAGAGATCTTGAAGAGGACGCCAGTCCCCCCTCTCCCTTCGCAACACCTCTCTCAAATTCGGAAAACACCAAGTATCAGTCTTGGATCTTCTGTTCACTGTTGATGATACCTCCAAGACATATTCTCTCGCAACCCATTGACCATAATAGCTTTCACAATGGCGCAACCACTCTGCTTCTTCATACCAGATCACATCTTCACACCCACCACAAACAATCATGCCGTTGCAAACAATGTACGAAAGCCAAAGAAGAGCAACTTGCAGGCCAATGTAAGCTACCAAGTAGCCAACTCTTGGAGCAGCAAGAAAGCCTCAGAAGGCGAGGACTTGGCACTCTTTGAGGTGTCAAATGAGCTCGTCATCGAAAGCTTCGACGAGATTCAGGCAAACGAAGTAGAACAGCCTGTTGAAGAGGCTTATACTCCTACCAAAGCGGTCAGAGATGGCTACGGGGTACGTCTTCCTTTTGTGAACCCTGGGTAACGTCAAGCATGGAACTAACCCATCATCAGAACACTCTGAGCGAGACGATCCGCATCCCCCGAGATGACCTCAAATTCCCTGACTCAGTACCGGTTGAGCAATCCCGCTGCGTCTTCGACCTCCAATTCTGCAAACACCCTTGGGACTTCCCCGGTGTCCTGATGCGATCCGAAGGCGAACCCGCCCTCGAGCGCCAAGGCGACCCAGCAGTCAACCAATGCTACGACCACATGGGCATCGTGCGCGACTTCTACCGCGAGGTGTTTGGCAACCACGCCATCCTGGGCGAAGGCATCCCTCTCGTCGGCATAGTCCACTACGACTTCTACTTTCCCAACGCATGGTGGCACGAGCGCGACGAGAAGGACGAAGGCTCCGTCCCCGGACTCATCTTTGGCGACGGATGGGACACGGACCCCTGGAAGAACAACCAGCCGACTAAGTGGTACGGCGGCTGCTTCGGTAACTTTGTCGGCAGCCTAGAGATTGTGGCGCACGAGATGACGCATGGTATGGTGCACTCGCTCGTGAAGCTGGAGACGACGGGGCAGAGCGGATCGCTGCATGAACACCTTGCTGATGTGTTTGGGACCATGTGCGAGCAGTGGCACAAGAGGCAGGCTGTTGGCGATGCGGACTGGCTGGTTGGGGAAGACCTTATTGCTGAGCAGTTTAAGGATTTGCAGGGGTTTGCGCTGAGGTCTGTCAAGGCGCCGGGGACGGCGTATAAGGTTGAGGAGTTGGGGATTGCGGATGTGCAGGTGGATCACATGAACAAGATGATTGCGGACGAGAGAGACGTCAAAAACATCTACGCCAATATGGGGATCTTGAACAAGGCTTTTTACCTTGTTGCGAAGGCGTTAGGGGGGAACTCTTGGGAGAAGCCGGGCAAGATCTGGTATGCTGCGCTGAAGTATCTCCATGATTTGGGGAAGACGAAGTGCAATATCGGTGAATGGGCTAGCATCACGGTGAAAGCTGCTAAGAAGCTGTTAAAGCAAGGAATTGTTGAGCAGAAGGATATCGATGCGGTTCTAGATGCGTGGAAGGAGGTTGGGGTGGTGGTGAAGTAGACGGAATTGGGAATGCTGTCTCGAAGAGTGAGCCAATATCAATACTACTTCTTGTTCAGGATCTCAACAAGGTCCGCTGGCTCAATGGCAGAGCGTCTGACTACGAATCAGGAGGTTCCAGGTTCGACCCCTGGGTGGATCGAGATAATCATTTCGATGTTTGTTTTTTGCTGAATTTTTTTTCCGATTTTGGTGGCAAGTGTGGATATCCTCGGCCCCCAAACCCCTGGAGGTGTGTTTTGCTCTGTGTCAGGGTTAGGGTCGAAAATTGTTAGTGCAATCACCGTCACCACTGTACTGCAACACGCCATTGCACGACTGCCACTGTGGTAGTCGCGATAGCGTCAAACAAACCCCGCAGCAACAACAGTCGGTCGTCAAACTCATCCACGACACTCCTCTTTATCCGCCTGCGCGACCATCCGGATCCATCATTTCTGCTTGGAATCGAGATAAAAGTGCATTACGATCATCAAAATGGCTCTTGTCGTATGTTTTTTTTGTCTCCTGCAACTTCTGTTTGACACGATGGTCACGTCGATAACATCCCAATAACGATATGTTGCTGACATGATAACAAATCCAGGCGGTTGGCCAGTTGACGTCAACGGCCAGCATGGCCAACAACCTCCGCCAATGCCAAATTCTTGTCAAGAAAGCAGTCAATGCTGGTGCAAAGGTCAGTCATCTTTTGTCTGATAAAGATGAGTGCATGGGTGCATATCCTGACCACACCAGCATCGCTAGGCCCTCTTCCTCCCCGAAGCAACAGACTACATCTCCTCATCAGCCGAAGAAAGCCTAAGCCTAGTCAAGCCCGTGCACGAAAGTGAGTTTGTCCTAGGTCTCCAAGAGGAAGCCCGCCGTGAAAAGCTGCCGATCCACGTCGGCGTCCATGAACCCAGCCAGACCTCTCAGCGCGTCAAGAACACAGTCCTCTGGATCAACGAGCAGGGCGAGATTGCGCACCGGTACCAGAAGATCCACCTCTTTGACGTGGACATCAAGGGCGGGCCAGTCATCAAGGAAAGCCAGAGCGTAGAGCCCGGGATGAAGATTGAGCCGCCGTTTGAGACGTCCTTTGGCAAGGTGGCGTCGACTATATGCTTTGATGTCAGTTCTCTCATCCCCTCTCCTACCTCTCACTTCTCAACTTCACTATGTAAGTTCACGGCATGTGGCTGACTGGACATACCTTACGACTTCAGCTACGTTTCCCGGAGATTGGCATCTCCCTCCGGCGGCAAGGAGCCGAGATCATTACTTACCCTTCTGCTTTCACTGTTCCCACTGGCCAGGCACACTGGGAGATTCTTCTGAGGGCTCGGGCGATTGAGACGCAGTCGTATGTCATTGCTGCGGCACAGGTTGGCAGACATAACGAGAAGCGGGTCAGCTATGGCCATAGCATGATCATTGATCCTTGGGGGAGGATTGTGGCTAGCGTGGGAGATAAGGAGGATGAGCCTGACATTGCGACGGCTACTATTGATCTTGATCTGGTGAAGAAGGTTAGGGCAGAGGTGCCGCTGAGGAGGAGGACGTAAGTGTTCTGTCCACTCCCCGTTTCTGATGTTTCATCAACAAGAAGAAGGAAGGAGGTTTGAGAGGATGCTGACTGACTCTTGGCAGGGATGTGTACCCGGAAGTGTAGCCGAAGGGCTAGCTGGACATAGCGTGGGTTTGCCTTGGCCCTGGGGGGACCTCATGGTTGTGTCACACTCCGGTCACTCATAACTCAGAATCCGGATGGTGAGTCTTTCAACCCGATTCGTTCGTAATCCAATGAAAGGGGTAGTTCGGTGCCGGCGGGATGTGTTTTTTGTCTTCCCCGGAAGGCTAGAAGGCATATTTAGGGATACAGTGACGCAATAGCTTGGAACCCCGGGCCAGGCCTCCCTCTTCGCCCCCCTTATTCGGCCACGAACGGTCACCCCAGGATCCGGTCAATGTGAACCCTTTGAGTCAATCACCACCTACAACACAGTGGAAGCATCACTGATGGCAAGTCAATGGGCAAGAGGATGTCCCAAATTTCGAAAGCGGTGACGTTCACCAACATCAGCCTCAGCAATATCCGGGTGTTGGAATCCGCAAACCGACCCAAGATTTCGGACGGTACTGAGGTTCCACAACATCTTTTCATCTCAACTTTTCCCAAACATCGAATCCGCCTTCATATTATACTGCCCTCTCCCTCTCCCAGAATCTTCAATCCCATCTCGCACTGCATCGCACTCTTGACCTGTCACCACGTGCGATCCTGGGATTCTCTTGCATGATCTTGAAGGGCAATCAGAAAAAAATGGGGCTAGTGCACGCAGATGTTGGACAACAATACCAAGGGCTCGGAAGCAAACAATGCTAATACGCCCCTGGCCTCATTCCCAAGCTTCAATTGAATTATCCTGGTACTAAACCCCCCGTTTACCCTGCAATGGGATTTCCCAACACAATAAGACCAATTTGGGTGTTCTTTATATTATCAACACCTCACATCCCACGACCCGTGCTATTATCCCCCCCACTTGCACTCACTCACTTCCGCCAAACAATATGATGTACCGGTCCTCTTGTTGCCTTCAACCGTCGGTCATGATAGAGAATAGGAACACTTTGATCGCGGGAAGATGGGCCATCGTCCTCCTCCTTCTTCTGTTGTAGAAGGTACCGCGACTACAATTGCAACAACTCGAAGAAATTGACTCCTCCAAACCCAGTCCAATACATCGCCAGGAGCCTGTCTTACTGAACTTTTCTTTTCTCATCAACGAAACTAATCAACTCTAATCCTTCGACCTCTGTCACTTTGCATTTACGGCTGTGAAGGATCGTCACTCATTTAACAACATCGTCGGCACTCACCTGGAGAATCAACACCTTCTTCTCTTTGGGCTTCTGGTCTTGGTCAACTTACCCCATACAAAGCTCGCTTCACTCGAGCACACCACCCAGGGCCTGTCTTGCTTTGGCCTGTACCGGTGTAGATACGGTATGTGCAAAACAAAACCAATGAAGAAGGATCACCATCCAAGCCCAGTACTAACCTCCTCCCAGCCTTGAACCCGTTCTACACAAAACACACAGCAACCACTCACCGCCCCCGTGGGCACCCATCAACAAACACCATGGCCTCCCTCCCCGCCGACGACATCTACAGCGGCATCAGCCAATCCCTCAACTCCACCCACGCCACCCTCGTCCTCCCCATCCCCACCCCCGACCGCGACCACCTCGAGAACCAACTCCTCTTTTTGTTTGACAACTACGGCCAACTCCTCAACGTAACCACCGCCGACATCGACCAGCTCAACGGCATGCTGATTTCCTCGGCAATCAACTACGCCACCCAGATCGGCGCCACCTTCATCATGCTAGCCATCATGCTGCTCATGACCCCCCGGCGCCGCTTCAAACGGCTGCCCACCATCATCAGCCTGCTGGCGCTCTTGCTCAACCTGATCCGCGTTGTTTTGCTTGCGCTTTTCTATCCCAGCCACTGGACCGATTTCTATGTTCTGTACTCAGGCGACTGGCAGTTCGTTCCCGCAAGCGACATGCAAATCAGCGTAGCGGCCACGGTGCTCAGCATCCCCGTGACTGCACTCCTCTTGTCGGCGCTGATGGTGCAAGCATGGAGCATGATGCAACTCTGGACTCCCCTCTGGCGGGCCCTCGTCGTTTTGGTCTCTGGTCTTTTGTCTCTGGCAACCGTCGCTATGTCCTTCGTCAACTGCATCTTCCAGGCCAAAAACATCCTCTACGCGGACCCGTTCCCCGATAGGTGGGTGCGGAAGCTGTACCTCGCGCTGACGACGGGGTCTATTTCGTGGTTCACTTTTCTGTTCATGATCAGGTTGGTCATGCACATGTGGACGAACAGGAGTATCTTGCCGTCGATGAAGGGGTTGAAGGCTATGGACGTGTTGATCATCACCAACTCTATCCTGATGCTGATCCCCGTCTTGTTTGCCGGGCTGGAGTTCCTCGATTCAGCGAGCGGGTTCGAGAGCGGTTCGCTCACCCAGACTTCTGTTGTTATCGTCTTACCGCTAGGCACGCTCGTCGCGCAACGGATTGCTACGAGGGGATACATGCCTGACTCTTTAGAGGGTTCAGGACCTAACAGCATGCCGCTCAGCGATTTGAGTCTTACGGGCGGCGGCGGCGGCGGCGGCGGCGGTGGTCACAAAGACAAAGGAAACGGAGGCGGCAATGGCATCATCCCTCCCACCAACACAGCCAACTTCTCCTCCATCGCCAGCGGCGTCAGCTGTGGCATTGGCATTGGCAGCTTGCCCAAGTCCAAGCGCATGACGTCCAGCTCGGCGTCCTCCAGCCAACGACCTCTCCTCACGACGACTTGCTCAACCATCTCCTCCACCAACAACGACTCCTCGGGCTTTCCTAGCCCTAGCATCCACAACACCACGCAGTACCAGTACGCGATGAACATGAATATGAACATGCCCAACTTCCCTCCCGTTCCCTACCCCGGGTACAACAGTCGTAACACGGGCGTTACTTCGCACATTGCCAGCGACGGACACCGAGCCATGAACAGACATCCGAGCGTCGACCACTTTGATCGCGAACTGGCGAGGATAGATGACGAAGACGATATGGATAACAACGATGGTTACCCCTTTGCGTCATCGGAAAAGGGAGTCATGGATGATGATGTGGAGAATCAGAGGGGGAGAACTATGCCCCCGCCGCATGGGGGAGTGAGAGTTGAAAGGACTATTGAGACTAGAAGTGAGAAGAGGATGCCGTCGCCGATTCCGAATCCGCACTTGAATCCGTTGGGGGTACACACGAAGCCGAGGTCTTTTGAGTAGGGCTGGGATCCGGCGGTGCTCATGTCGATGGTGATTGGTGGTGCTGGTGAGTCTGGTGAGAGAGTGGATGGGGGAGATGAGGAGAAGGGGGAAGAGAAGAAGGAGACGGAGGTGGTAATGAAGTTTTGAGGTCGAGGTACTGAATGAGAAAAGAGAGATGATTAACAGTGGAGGTGATACCCTAATATGCAGTGAGCCCTCGGAGATGTGAGATTCTTTTGGTTGTATTATTAAACAGGGGAGACGACGAGGCGTGGGTGTACATACGTGATTCTTACCTTCCCTAAGGGGGTTTTCTGGTTTGGCTTGGTGGCATGGCTTGCAATACCCTTTCTTCGCAAAATGGAACAAAACTCGATGCTTTTCGACACCAATGCTTCATTGTTTCGTTGTCTTTTTAACAGATTTGGCTTGATCCCGCGCTTCGCTCAGTATAACGTGATAAGTTAGCACCGTTCATATCCAATCTTCAGTTTCCCTGCGGTGAATGATTCGTACGTTTTCTGCCTTTACCACCACGTGCGCAAGCACAACTCTATGCCATCGGGCAGTTTGCAGACAACATGTGCCTCCTTCCACCATTCGCATTCTTCACTTTCCCTGGACTCGAACTTTAGCTTCGGGCCTGCCAGCTCAGGTTTATGGGCAATTGTCATTAGAGTTTGCAAGGTGATGACCTTGTCGGGCCCCAGCTTTCTCACTCGGCAGGAAAGATCGGAAGACACAACCAGAAGCATTCTTGTCTGATTCGGGCTTTCAGCGTAAGCGGGAAAGGGGTCAAAGTTCAAGACAACAGCCGCAATGGTGGTGTCTGGAGTGTATTGTACTTTGTTATGAATATTTTCGTCCCAGGGATGGCCTGTGGCTGGCAACACGCGAAACCGGGGAAGAGGTCGAGTCAGGTGACACCACCACCAATTTTCCTCCAACGTATGGAAAGGTGCACAAGGAACTCTTGGTAACGGACAGCTATGGCGAAGAAGGGTGAAGTACATGCTACACAGTGGCTGAGGGGGGTACATCAGCTCTAGGCGAAGGGTGCCTCCGCCCCTCTTAGTTGCCAACGGATGTCCAAAGTCGAATATCAAGGACCTTTCCAGATAGCCAACAGAATCCCATAATCGGCGGTAGCGGTCCTCAGGGCGGATGCAGATGTTCATCTTCTCCGCTTTCTCGGCAAAGGAAACAGGAACTTTGCAGGGAAGACAGAAGGGGCTTTGAACATACTCATCATCATGGTCCTTTGAGGCGGCGTCAATGACGGACGAGCGGATCAAAGGAAGGGCCACTAGGCTGGGCTGTTTTGTCCTGACCTTGGTACTGCAGGCCAGGAGACCGTACACGATATGCGGATGTAACTCGTCTCTGACAATAGGCAGAGTGATGTCTAGCCCACGCTGGCTCAATGCAAAAGTTGGTCTCTGGTGTCCTGGTATCCCGCAAGGCTCGAGGTTGCCAGCGAATTTGAAGTCCTTTGGGGATGTCGCAAACAGGGACCTTGGGCGACCGCCAGCATCATGGCCGTTGAGATCTCTACAAAGTCGGCGTTGACGCAGTACTCGGCCGTTGAGATCTCTACAAAATTGGTCTTGAAGCAGTACTCCGCCTTGAGGGCCAGAGGTAACACCTGCATAAGCACATGCTGGAAGGTGAGAGCCGAGACGGAGTGGTTCGGATGGAAGCCCCAGGTTAAAGTCGAGTCTGTCGGGTAAGGGCCCAGGATTTTCCTGACGGTGCTGGTCACAACGGCAACAACGACACCAGAAGGGGATCTCAGAGACGGGGGCTCCAAGAAGCGGCTCATTGTAACCCCAGGCCAGCAGAGTGCAGTCATCGGTAGACTTCATGATCTCTTGTTGTAGCCGAGCAAACGCCTTTCTTCCTTCGCCGTACAGCATTGGCATATGGATATCGAACAAGCCGAGCAAGCAGTACGCCTCATCCTCGACTCTCGTTGTCTGCCTCCCGGCGGCCCATGACATCTTGGTTGCAACGCTGGTGTCTCGAAGGACGGCTTCGAGGTCCCAAGTTTTGCAAGGATCCAGCTCGATGCCGAGAAGAAACTTGACATGGATACCAGTAGCTTTGGAGATGTGGCTCGCCCACTCGGAGCGTGAGCCCAGTTCCCTCCAGTTGACATCGAAGAAGAGCAACCTTTCGGGCGCCAGGAGCTCCTGTAGGGTCCAACCTCGGGTGAACCAGCGGCAAAAGAATGTGGCGTAGGTCTGTAGCTCTTCGTTGAAGTCAAAGTGTGACTTGTCCACATCAGACAGGAGGGCTAAACACACACTCGAGTTGCGGTACCATCGGAACATGGAGTTGATGGCTTCTTGCAGCTCTGCGCTGTTGGTCTTGTCGATGCAGCAGCTGTCAATCCAGATGTAGAGATAGCCTTTTGCCATAGAACATGCGTCTTTGATTTTCTTCCAAGATTTGTTTGGAGGATTGCTGCTTTGTAGGATTTTCCTCGCATTCGGCTGTTGCATATCCTGAAGGGTGACTTCATTGCCGTCCCATGTGTGGGATAGAATGGCGTATGTTGGGACTGCATCTTCGGGGAATTCGTGAAAAGTGAAGTCTTTGGTGGAAAGCAGACGCATGATGTACGGGTATTATAAACAGGAGGTAGCAGAAAGAAAATGCAATGCGAAGGACGATGTTCGCAAGACGGCGCATGCCACGAGACGTGGTTGAGTGAAGAGTGAAGAGTGAAGAGTGAAGAGTGAAGAGTGAAGAGTGAAGACAGGACTGAAGAGGATTTGTGATGCGGGGTGCATTTTCAGTGCATTGCTCTTGCCGCATTAAGGTGTCGGATATCGGGACAACTCTGCCTGCCGTAAAACCAACTGTCAGCAGCCCTCACCAGCTGCAGTCAGCAATATTTGGCACTCGGTTCGGCACGACAAGAAGCCGGAAAGAATCCAGGAACAGTTCGTTACGGAGTCGTTACACAAGCCAAGCCCTTATCGCTCATCAATTCTCTCCGGACTGTCAAGATCTCGACAACCCCCTCATCTACTCCGTATCTTATACCCATAATCTCACACATACACATAACAAAACGGCCCTTCCACCACACTCATCAACTCCCTCAACTTCCTCCTCGGCCCCGCCGCATACCCAAAATCCACCTCATCATCTAACGTCGTCTCCCCGCTCTCAGGAATATTCAAGAACGTCCTCGTCCCCGCAACCGCCGTCGTCTCGCCATACACCCTCTTCTCCGCATCCACCATCTGCCACATCCACCACACCCGATCAATCATGGCATGGTGCAAATAAAACGCCGGATCGCCAGGTGACGTGCTCACATCGCGACCCGGGTCTCCTCCCAGCGAATAATGCCCACCGCCATGCACGCCGATGTCGCCTGTCCCGGGGATGCCCTGCATGATCATCTGGAAGTTGTTAATCGTTTCTTGGGAGAGGAGATGTGCGATGGAGGAAGCGTTGGCGAAGCGCTGGTTGACAGCATCGGTTAGATCGCGGCGCAGACATCTTGGGTTCCAGGCGAATGGACCAGCCGGGTTCGATTCCTGCGGTCCGCCGCCGGGAACGTCGAGGGCGATGGGGCCAAGGTTGACGGTCATGTTGACAAAGGGACCTGAAGTAACACAGCCGCCGCCCGTGCCTGCGGGGAGGTACACAGGCGGCAGATCGCTTCCCTCAACGCCGAGGACGATGTCTCCTTGGTTAGGAATGTAGACGCCGTTGCCGGACATGGAGGTCGCGCTACCGTCGAAGATGGGGGAGGCGGAGAGAGCGGTCTCGGCGGTCTTGGCCCAGTCCCAGTAGGGTTGGGTACCGCGATACCCGCATTCTTCGCGCAGGGCTTGCTCGTACAGCGCGGTGAAGTAGCGGTGCAGGCCGAGGAAGTTGCCGGTGTAGTGGGCGGTTTGGGTCTGGTTGATGTGGGTGACGACGAAGTCATCGAAGCGGGACTTGGCGCCAGGGGCTAGTGACGAGGGATATCGGGAGGGTTTGGCCTGCAGACATTGGACGGCTTGGATGTACTGAAGCCTCTCTGCTTTGGCGAGTGTTCCCCTGGACTGATGTTAGCGAAAGGACCCTCGGTGTTTGAGCTTGTAGGTGCTCTCGGGGCTTACCATTCTCTTCTGATCTTGATCTTGTCTGGTGTGCACTGGCTTCCCTTGGCCGCTTTGAGGGTCCTTTCGAGAGCCGAACGAGCAAGGATGTCTAGCTCTGCTGTTGCTTTTACAATGACTGGGTCCCGAGAACTCGAGCTTGGGAGTCCCACGCACGTGCTAGCGGCCTGGAGAACCAGGAACAACAGGGTTGAGAACCTCATCTTGCAAGCTCACAAGGACGGGCAAGGAAAGAAACTTGGGTGTCGATTATCTTTTCAGAAGAGCACGGGAGAAGAGCTGATATATCGATGACAGTCAACCCATCCTCGACGCCCAACCACCTGGCACGACGAGTCCACGGTGCCGAGACACTACGATGCACAACATACCGCTAATTCTCATTCAAATCGGATATATCCCCCCCTGTCCTGGCCAATTATGTGGTTTGCTGAGGTCTGCATGCCCCCGGTTGAGGCGTCGCCATGAAGGTCTCTCTCCAGATGTAACTGGCTAGTATAGTGTGGGGGATAAATTCGATTTAAATGAGAATTAGCGGTATAGCGGTAAGAACTTTGCAGCGAGGAATCTCTGGTTCATTGGCCTGTTAAAAGAAGTGTAACCCACTTGGTGTAGTCTCTGCCGATGCGGTATCCAGGAACAACTTCACCAGGGGCAAAGGGAATGGTAGCAATGGGAACTGGGAAGGCTGTTGACCTCTTGTATCCCGTCCTTGTCCGGTCCAACCGTAGCACAACGTGGAACATGGTTGATTGGGGCGCTATACAGGAGCACAGAGATCTTTCTTGCGGCTAATAAGGCAATCCCAGCTCATATAACATCCACAAGTCACCGAACGGTCTGGACCCATGGGTAGTATTAAATGTACGACCGATACATTGACGAAATGAAGCTGCCAATTGCAAGCGGCGACGCCATCATCAAGTCCGAGGTGTATCGTCCGTTGTGCTGATCACCAGAAACCGGCTCTAAGGCTCGTACCCGGCGCTGTTTCCTATGAGCACAAGTTAATTCAGATCTGGATGGAAAGCGTATTTGCCGCGGGCTTCCAATGTGAAAGTTGATTGACTCCAGTCAACTGAGTGTGCGGACAACCAGGCCGACATCTCCTTCCTTTCTTCTTCACTGACATTGGTGCCTCACTCCTCATGACCAAGTCCCCCATCTTTTGTAGCCATTCTGGACCCCAAGTGGAAGTCTTTCTCAACTTGGCATTCTTCCTTGCGCAGCTTGTCATTACCTGGGATTCTGGGAAGGAGTAACCCAGACTTTTTGGTGCCCGGTTACCTAGTTTTGCGGGGGACTGCTGCTGTTCGCTGGGGAAGATGGGAGTGGAGGTGCTTTCCGTCCGGCCGTCTTCCACTTCTTCCAAGGCAATCGTCCCCCACCACTGACATTGATGCAATCGACTCCAGTCCTGTTTTTCGCATCTTCCAGTCGACACGTGACGGGACTCTTCTTCTTCTCCATCTCCAACTCGCTATCGCATTTCTTACTTAGTTTTCAGCCTTCAGTTGGCAGTTTCACATTCGCCTGCAGGGCACAGAGCCACCGACTGGCGATTGCTTCCAGCTGGGACGCAATGGCTCTTGCTCGTGACACCAAACCCCGATCAGTTTCCGCCCTCAGGCAGCGCCGTAACCAAAAGACCCGGATTTCAGCGCAGGATGCGTGGACGCTGGATGCAGGTAGAGTAACGCACCTTGTGACTTTTATCCTGGTTTTGGGTCCCTTGGGCGTGGCAGCAACTTAGATGCAGCGCTAACAGATTCCCTACAGGGATGTTGGTAATTGCGTTAGCAAAGTATCCTGGCGCAGTGGGGAAATCCGGACCCGAGACGCCGGATGGCACGCAGCAGCACCGCAGCACCGCACCGGCCAACTTCCAAGACTCCCGGTCCCAAAATGACTCGGAATGGCACCGGCGCCGAGTTCCTGGCCCCGCACGATGAAAATCAACCAACCGAACTGCCCACCTCAGCCTTCACTTTGATGATAGCCTCGAGGTTGACCACATCAATACCATACCCAATCTGGTGCCCCTTTGGACCAGCCCGGGCTTAACGGCTACCGCTTCTGGCTTTCGAGAGCCTCAAGTTCCCGTCTTGAGGAGCCTGGGGGCGGGCAGGCTTGTTGAAGGATGCTTCCCGTCAGTGAGCTGCATCTCTGTTGCATGTCCACACCTTGGCCAAGGTAAACAGTTATTATGCCATGCCATGCAGTATAAGCCCCAGAGTTGGATATGGACAAAAAGCACACATCCCGAGCCGAGTAGCGAATATATAATGATCCTGTTGGGCCGCCGCCACCTGGTAAGGTTGGCTGGCACTTGGCCCACTTTCACTTCCAGACCACACCAGTATTTTTTCCTTCTTTCTTTCTCTTCCCGTAGCGCTTTCTTTCTGAATCATCCACAATATCATCACTTCTTTCTTTGATTCAGCGGATCGCTTCCCACAGATCCTTCTGGATCTCTCTTCCTCTTCCAAACACAACTCAATGTCTCTTTTGTCTAGCACAGTCACATACCCCTTTTTTGAACATCATGGCCCTCTTCCAGCGCCCTCCCGATGAAAAGGGATCGGTCTGGTTCTCTGTCCTGATCGGCGTCTTCGTGGCCTTCACTGGTCTTCTTTTTGGCTATGACACCGGCACCATCAACGGCGTCATTGCCATGAAATACTGGCAGCAAAATTTCTCCACTGGCTATACAGATGTCAAGGGGGAATTGACCATTAGCCCCTCGCAACAATCCCTTATTGTCTCTATCCTTTCGGCTGGTACCTTTGTCGGTGCTTTGGCTTCTCCCTTGCTGGCGGATAAGATAGGTCGGCGATGGAGTCTCATCATATCCTCTTGGGTCTTCAACTTGGGCGTCTTGATGCAAGTGATTTCTGTCGCCATCCCTCTCTTTGTGGCTGGCAGATTCTTTGCCGGGCTTGGAGTTGGCTTGCTTTCGGCTCTTGGTGAGTGATGTATCCCTTTTCCTTTCTATCTAGTCCTTGCTCTCTTCCACCCCAAACGACATGGGCGTGCTATGCTAATACCGCTCCCGTGATAGTCCCGCTCTATCAATCCGAGACCGCTCCCAAATGGATCCGTGGATTGATCGTGGGCGCATATCAACTTGCAATCACCATCGGCATCCTCCTCGCCGCCATCGTCAACAACGGTACTCATAAGAGGGACGACACCGGTTCCTACAGAATCCCCATTGCTCTCCAGTGGCTCTTCTCGGTCATTCTCATCATTGGAATGCACTTCCTTCCTGAGACTCCCAGGTACTGCATCAAGCGTGGGGATATGACCGGTGCCACCCGATCTTTGGCTAAAATTCGCCGGCTGCTGCCCAATAATTCCGCCATCATTGAGGAGATAGAAGAAATTCGTGCGAACTACCTATACGAAATGTCACTCGGCAACAGCAGCTACCTAGGCTGCTTCCGAAAGGGTATGCTGAAGAGGATGCTCACAGGCATGGTACTTCAAATCCTGCAGCAACTTACCGGTCCGTCTCCCGATTCCCTTTGTTCCTCTGTTCCACCATGGCATTTTCTGACTCTCAAATCTATATAGGGGTCAACTTTATTTTCTACTACGGTACTCAATTCTTCGAGAACTCCGGCATAAAAAATCCTTTCATAATCAGTGTGACCCTAGCCACAGTAAACTTTCTCTCGACTATTCCCGCTGTCCTCGTTTTCGACAAGTATGGTCGCCGCCCGTTGCTCTTGTGGGGTGGTGTAGCCATGTGCATATGCCACTTTATGGTCGCTACGCTCGGCACAACGACAACGGGCCAGACTGCCTCCGGGGTCATCACCGTGCTCAACTCTGGTGGTCAAAAAGCTTCAATCGCTTTTGTGTGCATGTTCATCGCCTCCTTCGCAGCAACGTGGGGCCCCTTGGCGTGGGTGGTAACTTCGGAGTTGTACCCGTTGAAGCACCGGTCGCAGATGTTGAGCATCAGCACAGCTACAAACGTAAGTTATTTCTCCCAATGTTTGTCCTTTCACGTCATCGTCTCCAGACTCATATCACTAACTTCCTGACCCAACAACAGTGGTTGTTCAACTGGGCCATCGCTTACTCGACTCCTTACCTCGTCAACTATGGTCCAGGGAACGCAAACCTTCAGTCCAAGATCTTCTTCATCTGGGGTACAGCCTGCCTGCTCTGCGTCGCCTTCGTCTACTTTTACATCTTTGAGACGAAGGGTCTGTCTCTAGAGGAGGTCGACGAAATGTACCAGACGCCAGGTCTCAAGGCCAAAAACAGCAGCAAATGGCGGCCGAGTATCCATTTCCGAGAAACCCCGCTCACGGAGGTCACATATAACAAGACTACTGCTGGAAGTCCTGCTGAGCCCGAGACTGCTCCAGTAGCCAAGACCACTGAGAGAACTGAGGGCGAGGCTGTTGCCCGTACCACAGCTCCCATGGCTGGTTCTCCTCCTCAGACTGATAGTGTTCCGAAGACTCTACAAACCGCTATCCTTCAACGTCCTGATGACGCTGTTGCCCACCATCACTCTCCTCTTCCCAGGCCAACTTCTCTGTCAAAACTTCCATCGCCCGCACTTCATTCCCTCAAGTCTGTTCCGTCCCTCCCCACGTACACCGACGAGGGAACTACATCTTCCAGAGGGCCGAGAAGCATCGGTCCATGAATGTCAGCAGATCCAAAATCACTTCCCGCGCCTTCCCCGATTTCACGTTCAAGTCATGAGTGGGCACAGGACGTACCGGATAGTGTCAATGCCGTCGTGTCAAGGCACTGAGACGATTAGCGGGAATACCTGGATATCAAACTTCGCTGGTCAGGGCAGGCTTGAAGCGACAGTCTGTCTGATCATTCGTGTCCGGGAAAGCCGTTTCGAGGACTGAAATGGTGACAGATGGGGCGAGAATGTCGAGTCATTGATCAAGAACTGGCAATGGCTTCGACATATCATGTGAGGAGCTGTTGCCGGTTATGAAATGTCGCTGTTATACGTGGATTTCACGAAAATTGGCGGAGGTAGAGAGGAGAGTATGATATTGTATCTCCCGGAAAAAAGAGAGCGGTGCTTAACGTAGGTAAACGAGGGAGGGATAGCGGGAATAGTAAAATGGGCGGAGACAGAGAAAAGTAGGATACTACATCAGCCGGTTATACGAGAGCGGCGCTTAACGTTGGTTAATGTGGGAAGGGATATCGAAAATGGTCTCATGTTTGTTAATGGTCAAGGGATGTTTCTCCTTCATTTGTACCATACCTAGGCTTTGGATACAACAATGATAGCTTTCTTGATCCCATTAGTTGACCTGTTATTGTATCCTGACGTTGCCGCATCCTAATACAAATAGAATGTGCACTCTTCTTGTCTACGTGTTTTCTTATATGGACAGTAACGACTGTATTCATCTGCCGTCGAGTCCAACTCGACCGTCATGTCCAATCCCACCAGAGTTTTCATCCTTACCACCTCTAGCAACCTTTCCAAAGAAGACAAAAGCCAACCAAAAAAGCCCTCTCACACCCTCTCGCACCCTCCTCCGTTATGTCTCCTCCGTCCTCCTACCTAGGTAACCAAGGTAACACTTAGTTCCCAACATGAAAATCCTTATCACAAACGTTATCGCTCTTGAGCGCGTAACCCGTACGACACCTGGGCGTACCCCATCTTGCTCGGTCCGCACTTTTGCTTGACGTGGTACATGGTGGCCTGGATGGCGTCGCGCGGCTTGTAGCCGTTGCTGGAGTAGGGGCAGATGAAGGAGACTACGTCGCGGCGGACGCACTATGTGCGTTATGATTCGTCAGTTACCGTACCTTAACCCAGGTAGGGAAGAGAAGGGAAGGGAAGAGAAGGGAAGGGAAGGGAAGGATGGTGAAGACAGGCAAAAGGGGGAGAAGGAGGGAAGGAGGGAAGGAGAGAAGACAGAAGAACGTAGTCGTACGTAGGTCCAAGCATGCTTATTCAAGTGCACATCTCCCGGATTAAAAGCGTCCAGCAGACACTTATTCGCCTCATCCGCATCGTTGACGTTGACTGAGCCGGGGCCGCAATCTTCTCTGCGTTTCTCGAGGCCGGAGCCGTAGCCGGAACCGGAGCCTGGGATGGAGTTGGAGGAGGTCAAGTTGGCAATCTCATCGTAAGGAGTGAATTCCGTCTGCTGGGTGTTTCCTTCGGAATCGACGATGATGCGGTAGAGACCGTCGGCGGAGACGTCGTGGACTGGGGCGATGTCTCTGGCGGCAGGGACGGGGATAGTGGCGGATAGGGCTGGGGAGATGGTGGTGAGGAGGGCGGTGAGGAGGGTGGTGGTCTTCATCTTGGGTATTTGGATGGTGGATAGGTATGGTCTTGGGGATCTGGAGGTTTGGAAGATGTTGATGGAGTGGGATGTGATGGTGATGATGCTGATGAGGAATGAATACTACAGTATGAACCTTTCGAAGCAGAAAACCGGGCGTGCTTTTATACCCATTTTATCCTGTCTTTTACCTAGGATCATGACCGTGAAAGTATAGTAGGACTTGCAAGTCCGAGGGTTCCCTTTGTACGAACTCAAGGAACAGCGAATAGGTCATATCGTCAGCCCAAACGAGGAGGACCAGGGGGGTGGGGTTTGTTTAGGTAACGGTGATTCTCGAACACAACTGGGTCCGAGTTGGTGACTCCTTGAGATATAGTCAGCATTCGACGTCAAACAAACACCATATGTCATCGCAGGGAAATCGGAGAGTGAACTAGGAGCCAGGCGGCTGTTGAAGGACGAGTACTCTACGAGACCAGGGCACGGCAGAAGTCTAGAGGTATGATGGTGGTTGGCACAATTCCAGCGCTGGGTTGTGTGACGCGACTACCTTAACACAGTTCGCGCAAGCCTACGCCAATTTCTGTTAGTGCTTGGAAGCAGACCACTAAAAGAACAGGCTGGTGCCTTTGTCAACCGGGCTGGATAAAAGGGCGGCAGCTCAGCCTCACAACTCCATGTGTCCGGGTATTTCATGGCTTACACCGGTGAATGGCGCGGCTAGGTTATTCTATGTTTTTATAGACGCAATAGTTTGTTGCCAGTGAGAGGGGATGTTCGAGTTTAGTCGGTTTGCTTAATTAAAATCCCCAGGCGGTGCCTAGTTGAGGCGACCCCCCTTGTGGGTCTCGCTTGCAACCTGACTTACGCTTATAAATATCGTAAATATATTCTATAAAATGAAAAAAGCGGTTAAACGCATATTAAACAACTATATACAAACATCTTCTTAATATATATATTATATATAAATTTAGTATTGTAACGGTCTTTAAGAAATATTATCGTTGATTTTAGAGATGGAAAAAAATAGGAAGAAAGGTAATAAGAACTTTAATAACATTTCAAATCAAATATCGGATAAAATATATGAAGTAAATAAATAAAGGGGACCGACTCGGCGGGCAGTGTTAAAAGACTACGCGAGCAGTAACATTGCCCGTATAACTAACTCTATTGTATAAGACTCCGCGGGCAGTGCTATAGTAATCTCTAACTCTAATATACCCAAATTTAATACGTTTAACTTAGCGATTTGCAACTATCATAAGATCCTAAGCGAAGTTACTTGCGCAATTTCTTTACAACGCAATCAACAAAACCGTCAACTAACCACTATAACTCCACGAAAACAAACCGTATCAACACGATTTCAACGTTAGTATACTCGTCGTAATATAGCCATTTATTTACTAACTTTTTTCTTCTTAATAGAATATCCGCTATCAAAATCGCTAGCGATTCTAATTCATAATATACTACTAGCGTAGATAAGTTTACTCCTACATCGCTTATTATACCTACTATACCTACTATACCTACTATACCTACTATACCCGCTATACCCGCTATACCTACCTTTACTTAATGATAAGGCTATAATAATCCCTCTAATAACAATAATAATTCTATCGATTTTAATAACAATAAGGGATTAAATAATAGCGAACAATCAGATATTCCTAACCCAACCACCGAAAATATTATACCCCAACTGCTTCGTTCTATAAAAGATATATAAAATGCCCTTAATAAATAGGGACGGCTTTACAGCGTAACCTTTAACCGCACCCAAATAATTAATTATCGATAAAGTAAGCTAACGTATTACCGCTTAATTTATAACCGTTATAATTTATTTTGTCCTTCTACAGCCAAATTTAAAAAAATAAGAAGTCGTAAGTATAATGATAAATAAATAGGTATAGCGATTGCCTTCGAGGAGAACGATTAGTAATAGATCTATCGACTTTCTACTAACTTAAAATACTACGTTTACAACTATACGCCCTCTCTATATACTTCTACTTACCTATAATATTATAAAAGAATTAATAAAGTATTTAAAAGAATAACTACCTTATTTTATCAACTTAATATTAGGATAAAAGATATTTTAATTATTATTAAACGGGAATTTAAAACTACTATATTTATATAGAAAGATATTAATAATTAGCGCTAAGTTATTAAAAAGGATTAACGCAATAATTTCGAAGCTATAGCGGCTTTTATTAAGTATTTTAATATATTAGGTACAACCGAAGTACTTTACATTATTAAATAGTCTAAAATAACCCTAATTGACTACTTAATATTATATAGATTTAGAAATTTTATATAGAGCAATAGCGGAATTACCTACAGTATTTCAGTATAAATAATATTTATAAAACTAATTACTATAGTTACCCCCTTATTATTATTACTAATGTAACGAATATTAATTCTATCTACTCTACTATTTTCGGTCTTATCAATAATAAGAATGTTAATAAATTTACCTAGTTAATTAACGCGTTCGATAAACTACATTATGAAGTAAGAATAATTAAATTAAAAGTTATTATTATAAATTTTCATAACTAATTAAAAATAGTTTTAATATTGGTATTTCTAAACGCTTAATAATAAATTTATATATTATGTATTAATTATAACGTTCTTTTATAGGTCAAGAGGAAGTAGAATCGTACCCTTAATGAAGGTAGTAATTTAGCATTTAAAAATAAGCGAAAGCTTATTACTTTTAAATAAAGTAACGAATCGATATTACAAACGGCCGTATACGGTTTAAATTCGTCCTTAAACATCGAATATACTTATCGTAGTCTTTTTTAAGCTTTGGAAAATAATAATCTTTATATTTAATAAGGTAACATTTATATAATTATAGTAGCAGTTAATTAATGAATTTTCTAATTAATAGAAGATCTTACTATATTTACAAGATACGTATATATTATACCGCTACTAGTAGGCACGCTATTATACTTACTAGTACTATAATTTCGGTTTAATAGTCACTTCCCTTAATAAATCGATTAATTACCGGATTAAGAACTTCTTAATTAATTGTAGGAATAATCTCTCTATTCTTATTAATTCAATTAAAGCTATATATAAAAAGGAGCGTAACTAATAGGAAAAAGATATAATTAATTAAAACGTTAAAATACGTAGCGAATTTATTAATAGTAAAGGGTTTCATATATTAAAAGATTTACCCTAGCGAATTATATACCGTAATTTTAATTTTATACATTATTAATTACGTATTACCCTATTTAGAATACCCTTGAATATAGGGAAAAGACTAGTATGCGATTTAGGGGAATATAACTATATTATTTAAAAGTAATATAGTATCCCTTACTATTATAAAATATTAATAAAGCTCAAAATCAAAAGCTAATTAGGCCGCTAAGATATCTATTATCGCTATTATATCCGAGCGCCTTTAATATATAATATCCCCTTTACCTCTATTTCCTTTTCAATTATGTTAATATATATTAGAATTAATATAATCCTAATTCTTATATTAAGGACCCTAAAATAACCAATAAAATTAAGAGGCGGCCGAAGAATAGCGTAATCGCATTACCCAAGGAATAGCAAATTCCTAATAACGGGTCTAGGAAAGGAAAGGAGAAAGGGAAAGGGAAGGGGAAAACAACTAAAAAAACAATAACGAAGGGAATAAAGAAGGGGGGAAAGAGTAATTAGATATTAAAGCTATTATTCCGCCAACAATAATCCTAATTCGAAATAGTTAATAAAATTAGTACAGATAAAAAGAAGTTTAATAAAGCTTCTATTATTAATTCTACTATTAAAATATAGGAACCCTCCTCACTAAATTCTTCTATTTTAAATAACGAAATTCCTCTAACTCTTACACCCTTAATCTCATTAAGCTCTGACAAACAACCTGCCCGTAAAAAACGTACTATAATACGTTCGTCAACACCTTTATCAACACCTTCGTCAACGCTAACTATAATTAGAAGCGGTAGAACGATAAAACCTTTAAGAAAGAAAGTAGGGGAATGAATAGGAGTTAAATAGTTAGATTTTACGTATAAATATAATTGTAGTGCTTAGATCTTATTTTATCAAATTATAATAAAACGTTCAATACTACGAAATTATTACTAGATGTCACTAGAATAATACGAGGATATTTAAAACCACACGGAATATCACAGGGTTAGGGATTACTATAGTACTGCCCGCGGAGAAAAGTAACACTGCCCGCCGAGTCGGTCCCAAATAAAGTAACCCATTAAATTAGGGTATTTAAATGAAAAGCGACCAGTTAAATTCTACTTCTTCCTTTCCTCCTTAAATATGATATTACTTTTATCCGCCGTAACTATAAAATACTTAGGAATAAATTATACAAAGTTTCTATAAAATTTCCGTAAAATTTCCCTTTTTTTATTTTTTACGCGAAGTTTCTATAAATTTTTCTTCTCTTTATTTCTTACGCAAAATTTCCGCGAGGTTTCCCTTTTGTTACGCGAAGCGATGCTTTACAAGGGATGCTAATATAGAATGATAGAGTGAGTAATTGGTTGCTAGATAGAATAATAGTGTGTAATAGTTAACGATAATTTTGTTAAAGGAAGTTAAAAATAAGTATTATTCAGAGCTTTAACTTAGGACTTCGTATACGATTTTATGGAATATATGTAAAATAGACGTTAGGTTAATATAATATAAATTGATAATTTAATTAATTTTGACAGAGGTTAATAGGGAGAGTATTTTTATATAATATATCCTATTCGATAGAGTAGTCCTACGTTTAATAGAGTATATATTAAGATAGAGTGGGGTATTTAGGTATGTGCTTAAAATATTTTATAATATTTCCCCTTCGACGAAAGGAGAAGAGTATTTAATATTTATTAAAATTATTATTAAATATAAAATAGAAAATAAGAATTATCGCTTTCTTTACTATTAATACATACTCTTTTTTATATCCTATATAACTTTTGATTACC